ACTATTACCAATACAAGTAACTCTCCATTGTAAGTAAAACATTCCGGAGTTTTCACACCTAATATTGATAACGTATCTCATCAAAAAAAATTGCAACTACTTTTTTGTTTTCTTTTTTTTCAATATATATATATATTTGATAAAAGCACAAAAGTTCAATGGACAAAAAGGGAGAGGGAAGAAGAGTAGGAGAGGATAGGGAAGAAGGAGAGAGGCAGAAGGATAGGAGGAGAGGAGAAGAGGGGAGGAAAGAAGAGGAGAAGAGGGGAGGAAAGAAGAGGAGGAGAGGGTAAGGGAAAGATAAGGGAGAAAAGGAGAAGAAGAAAGGATGAAGGAGAAAGGACGATAAAGGTGAAGAGGGAAAGGAGAAGACAAAGAGGGAAGAGGAGGCAGAGAAAAGGAGAAAGGAGATGACGTGGAAGAGTAATAAGAGGTTGAAGGTCATGTCTGCCGTCATCAACCCTCTCACCCTCCACTTTCTCTCGCCCTCCCTCACCTTCTCTCGCCCCCCCCTCACCTTCTCTCCCCCTCCCTCTCCCTCCCTATCTATATACCTCACCTCTCACCGTCACCCACACGCACCTTGACTCAATAACTCAAATCTGACTTCATAAATACCACGCGATGACGAACAGGTTGACGTCACTTACAAATATGTGTGTGTGTGTGTGTGTGTGTGTGTGTGTGTGTGTGTGTGTGTGTGTGTGTATGTATGTAATGACAATATGTATGTGTGTGTGTGTGTGTGTGTGTGTGTGTTGGCCAATCCCACAGACATATGTCATAATTAGACCCTTAATCTCTAGAGGTTGCCCTGCCGAGTCCTCACACTCAGCCATGACAGATTAATGATTTGTGACTTTGTACTGCGTATATATATATATATATATATATATATATATATATATATATATATATATATATATATATATATATATAGGAGTGATGAAGATGCATACTAATCACCCTCACACTAATTACCCTCATACTAATCACCCTCACACTAATTCTGGAGGCATCTGTACAATACACATTATCCCGGAGAGTACTTCAGCAGTCAATATCTACCACTATCCCGCCCTGTTACAAATAATACAGTGTAACTACAGTACATACCATTACAGTATATAGTTAGTACACATAACAGCTGGTAATAACTACGGCTGGTAATGGACAATGAGTGAAATTACTAAAAGTTCCGAGCGAGCTGTTACCGGCTGGAGGCAGGTGGGGGGGGAGGGGGGGACGGGAGGGGGGACGGGAGGGGGAGGGGGCGATCGATATAGGATGGCCCAGAGGTGCAATCGTAATCTCCTCCCCCCTCGCGCCCTTACCCTCCCTCATTGATCCCCTCCTCCTCCTCCCTCCCCTCTCCTACTCCTCCCCTCCCCACCCCTCCCACCCGCAAATTCTTGTTAAAAAATGGAGCAATTTGGAGGAGGTTAAAAGAGGAGAGTCAGGATAATAAATAGGTAGATATATGTAATAAATGACTGTATGTTGGTTAGGTTAGGTTAGGTTACCCGGTGGACCAAAGCCAGGTTGAGGGGGGGGGGGGGACCAGGTCAAGGTGAAGTGTGACCTTGTAGCACTGCGGCATGACCCAGGCTAATGACGACACCATATACAATACACTATACACATTGATGCATATACCTGTACTACACCTGTTATTACGATCATTAATTAATATTTAGGTTCTGTATGAAGAAAATAACACACACACTAAATTATCCACTACATGACCTTAAATAAAGAATATATTTTACCTGTCATGAATAAAAGTAATTACTACCTTTACTGACACGTATAAATGAATAAAAAAAAATACTTAACATAACCTGACCAGAACACTTCACTAACTCACAAATAAATAAACCCAATTATACACTATATCCTTTTCGGCAATCCTCTATAATCAAGACAGTAATTGATAAGTAAATCCAATTATACATTTTAATAAATCATCGTCTATAATTAAGTCTCATAAATTAATAAAAAAAATCAATTATATTTTCTAAATAAAAAAATCATTACAATGCACCGTGTTTCTGCAGGTTGTCATGGTAACGCCTACGTGTACCAGAGTTGGCTGTTAATGAGCACGTAACAGCAGTGAGTCTACAGGGGGTGTGGAAGTGTGAGTCTGGTGAGTCTACAGGGGGTGTGGAAGTGTGAGTCTGGTGAGTCTACAGGGGGTGTGGAAGTGTGAGTCTGGTGAGTCTACAGGGGGTGTGGAAGTGTGAGTGTGGTGAGTCTACAGGGAATAATGTAGTATTGGTGAGTCTACAGGAGTAATTATGTGGTGTAGGAGGAGGAGGTACTCGTAACGGGAGAAGGAAGGAAGGAAGGAAGGAAGGACAGTGGGATGGAAGAATCGATGGAAGGAAAGGAGGGAGGGACGGGAGGAGACAACCAAACAGACACACAGAGAAAGAAGGAAAGGACACACGGACGAAAGGATAGAAAGGAAGAAGCAGGAACCCAATCTCAAATTCCCCCCACCCTCCTCTCCTCCTATCCATTTGGGTCACACAGACAAAAACCCAAACACCCGTGAGGCCATTACATTCTCACGTCAGTTCCGGTAACATCAAAGACTATTTACAGTTTCTGCCCGAGTTCCCTCAAGACCGCTGAAGCTTGGTACTTGAGGCTGATACGAAAAGACCTTTACCCCCCCTAAGACTGGATCCAACCCCATGATTTAAAGACTATATGGTGTTCGAAGCCCCCTAAGACTGAATCCAACCCCATGATTTTAAAAAAAAAGATGATTCGAAGCTTCGTAACAAAAGGGTAAACCAGACGTCATCGAAGATCGAATAGATCAGTCAGACCATAACCTCTCCCTCCTTCTTCTTCTTCTTCTTCAGGTAGAGGCTTGAGGTCTTGGCATATGTGGCTCCATCACCAACCTACCCCCCCTCCCTTCCTCCCCTCACCACTTCAACACTCGACAGTTTAAGCCATGTAAATTTCAACAAGAGGGACCCTGTCTGGCCTCCGGTGAATGGCTGAACCAATTTGTGAGAGCGAAGGTAATGATGCTTGAACCACTGTTGAAACAGAGTGGCACAACGACACGAGCGGGGGGCACACACACACACACACACACACACACACACACACACACACACACACACACACACACACACACACACACACACACACACACACACACACACACACACACACACACTCGCCTTTAACCCCCATAACACTGACACGGTAGAGAGGTTCCACAAGTATTACTTTTTAACACCGACAAGGTAGAAATTATTACTTTTTTAACACCGCCACACAACATAATTATCTCTTATTTAGCAGTAATTATCCTCGGTAACCTGAGTCAGGCACCAACTCTCACTGCCTAACTTTAACAGCAAAGACCATGACCTGACCTGACTTGACCTGAACGACCTAATTTAACTTTAACAGCAAAGACTCTTGACCTGACCTGACCTGAACTGACCAACCTAACCTAACTTTAACAGCAAAGACCCTGACCTGACTTGAATGACCTAACCTAACTTTAACAGCAGTGACCCTGACCTGACCTGAACGACCTAACCTAACTTTAACAGCAAAGACTCTGACTTGACCTGAAGGACTTAACCAAACTTTAACAACAATGATCCTGACCTGACATCTGGTGGTATAAACCTACAACAGGACCTTTGGCCAGACACACAGAAGAGGATTAGTGTATATCATTCTTATATGAATCACGAAAGTAAAGATACATAGTTGCCTGTTTATGTGTCACGAAAAATAAGACACATTACACTATTATATTTTTATGCACCACGAAAGATAACACACAAGACACTATAACCTTCTATGCACCACGAAAGATAACACACAAGACACTATAACCTTCTATGCACCACGAAAGATAACACACAAGACACTATAACCTTCTATGCACCACGAAAGATAACACACGGGACACTATAACCTTCTATGCACCACGAAAGATAACACACAAGACACTATAACCTTTTATGCACCACGAAAGATAACACACAAGACACTATAACCTTCTATGCACCACGAAAGATAACACACAAGACACTATAACCTTCTATGCACCACGAAAGATAACACACAAGACACTATAACCTTCTATGCACCACGAAAGATAACACACAAGACACTATAACCTTCTATGCACCACGAAAGATAACACACAAGACACTATAACCTTCTATGCACCACGAAAGATAACACACAAGACACTATAACCTTCTATGCACCACGAAAGATAACACACAAGACACTATAACCTTCTATGCACCACGAAAGATAACACACAAGACACTATAACCTTCTATGCACCACGAAAGATAACACACAAGACACTATAACCTTCTATGCACCACGAAAGATAACACACAAGACACTATAACCTTCTATGCACCACGAAAGATAACACACGGGACACTATAACCTTCTATGCACCACGAAAGATAACACACAAGACACTATAACCTTCTATGCACCACGAAAGATAAGATACATGATACTATTAGCTTCTCCTATGTGTCACGGGAGCAATGATACATAATTAGCTTTTCTCAGGTAACACGGAAGGCAGAAAATTCACCTGAGTCATGCCTTCACAACAGGAGAGAGGACAAGTACAGTGTATAATCATCAGACTTAATAATGTCAGGGTGCGGGAGGTGAAGTATGAGAGAGAGAGAGAGAGAATCAACAATATTCTATGCTAATAAACTTCAGAACAAGAAGAGGAAGAGAAGCATGAAAGAGGAAAAAGAGGAATAAAGATAAAACAGGACGAAGAAGATGAAGTGGAGGAGGAAATCGACGAGGAAGAGCAAGGGGGAGAGGGAGGGAGGGAGGGGGGAGGAGGAGGGGGCGAGAGAATGAAGAAACCAACGAAGAACAAGAATGAAAAGTTAGTCACCACCACCAAACCTAACCTAACCTAACCAACCCATCACCAAGACACACAGCACAGGGGTCACACTCACATGGTCCTCATAACGCCCGCGCCGCCGCCTTGGCCAGCATAAAGTACTCACCTGAGGATAAACAAACAATTATTTACATACCTATAATAAACAGAATATATATATATATATATATATATATATATATATATATATATATATATATATATATATATATATATATATATATATATATATATATAGAGTACGTGTTATAGAGGAGAGTGGTATGGTATTTAATGGTCTGTGTGATCATACATGTGGTATTTTTGGATGTATAATAATAATAATAATAATAACAATAATAACAATAATAATAATAATAATAATAATAACACGAACAACAATAATAATAACAAGAACAACAATAATACCACTACTAATAATAACAACAATAACAAAAACAACAAACATAAATAACTCACAACAATAACCCACTAACACGAAAAGAAAAAAAACTATGTCATGTCTTGTAAGCATCAACGGGAGTCTTGTCAAGGTAAAAATCCTGGTTGTAAAAAATAAAAATAAAAATTGCAGCTCAGGTAAAACTCATAATCCACATCACGCAGCAGCACACACACACACACACACACACACACACACACACACACACACACACACAGGTAGAAAAACAGAGCCAAACAGACAGCAACAGAGAGAGACAAGATTGCTAGTTTAAATTAACTTAGGTTAATTAGGTTAAGTTCAGATAGGTTAATTTTATGTTCAGAGAGAGGAGGGAAGGGTGGGGATGGGGGGGGGAGCAATCTTCATCTGTGAGAAAAACAACAAAGTCAATGACCACAACACGATGTAAAAGTGAACTGTGTGTGTGTGTGTGTGTGTGTGTGTTTTGCTTGATGATACAGACACACAATCAGACACGTCAACACAACACACACAGCCATGATGAATGACAGTCACCAACCCATTCTCTATCATGATGGAGGAGGGGGAAGAGGGAGGGGACGAAGAGGGAGAGGAGGGAGAGGAGGAGGAGGAGGAAAAAAAGGAAGCGATAAAAGAGGAGAAGAAGAAGATAGAAAGCAAGCAAGTAACTATAATTCAAAGATTCTAAAGAACGCGTCAAAACATAGTTAAAAATTCAACAGAGTAAATCGACCCACCTACCCACCCAACCATGATCACCTGAGCTTAACCTGTATGGAGGGGTGAGGGGTTAATTGACTCCTATCATACAGGTGAGAGAGAGAGAGAGAGAACTGGTGGGTTAAAAAGGGTGATATGGGCTAGTGGGTTAAAGGGTGGGATGGGCTGGTGGGTTAAAGGGTGAGGGTGGCAGGTGGGTTTTGGTGGACAGGTGAGGGATATAATCCTTTTACACCTGACGTCCATCGAAGGTCCCCCAAAAGATGATCTCTGACTTATCTGCAACATTATGCATACAAGCTGACGTGTTGGGAGGCAGCGTGTTGTCCAGATATCAGGAAGGGATTTGTGTGTGTGTGTGTGTGTGTGTCTATGTTAGTATGTGAGTGTATTGACATGTGAATGAGTTAGTGTAGATGTATGTGTGAATGTGCTAGTGTGCGTGCGTATGTATGTATGTATGTATGTATGTATGTATGTATGTATGTATGTATGTATGTATGTATGTATGTACGAGTATGAGTGTGAGAGTATACTATTGATCATAAGAGGAGGCGAAGGTCAAGGTCTTCCTCCACACTAGCGACCTCGCCCTCAACACCGCCACCACCACCTCCTCCACACTGCGGGACCCCTGATCGATCACCTTCACCAGTACCACCGCCTCCTCTACCTCTACTACCACCCCCACCACCTCACCTAAACTAACGTAGCCTAACCTAACCTAACCTAACCCAACACAACCTAAACTAACCTCAAAAAGCACTACACTACACTACACAGATGGTACTAAAATAATATACCTTTGTCTCCAGGAATATAAACAACACGAGCCAGAAACACCCTTTTTACCGTGATTTTTTTCACCTTTAAAATTTGTAGGTCGCCAACTTTGTCTCGAGCAACACAACCTAGGCAGCTCTATCACCATGTAACACTTTTAAACATTCAGGCAACACCTAAACATTCAACTAACATCTTTGTCTCAACACACTTAAACTCCCAGTTCCTTCCTATCTCCCTCCTAAACCTAAACTTATCCAACTTAAATCCGTTGCTTCGAGTCCTATCCTGCTCGGGTATTATAAGAACTTTATCTATATCCCCTTTATTGATTCTTTTCGCCCACTTAAATACTTCTATCATATCTCCCCTCAAGTTCTATCATCATCCCAGGTCGACGGGTCCTATAACGTGCCGTTTGTCTGTCCGTTTGTCTGTCCGTATGTCTAGCTGTCCGTCCGTATGTCTGGCAGTCCGTGTTTAAAAGTTAAATGGACTGTTCCGAAAATTTGTACCAGCAATGATGACGTATGTATGTATGTATGTATGTACAGTATGTATGTATGTATGTATGTATGTACAGTATGTATGTATGTATGTATGCATGTACAGTATGTATGTATGCATGTATGTATGTATGTATGTATGCACAGTAAGTATGTATGTATGTATGCACTGTATGTATGTATGTACAGGATGTATGTATGTATGTATGTACAGGATGTATGTATGTATAAAATAAATAACAGGAGACGCCATGATGCCTTTCTTACTAACTGTACCTAAATTAACTGTCTTGGTATATCTGGGTGACTGGAACTGCTCTGCCCCAGATGCCATGAACTGTTTGTCTTATGCTCCATTCATTACTGCCACACACACACACACACACACACACACACACACACACACACACCTACCTCTTAAGGTCCATTTAAGAGTCACTGCTTAAATAGATGATTGTTAATTAACGGTTGGTTTTATTAGACAGATTAGACTAACACACACCATCATAAATATTAACACCACACACAAACATTAGCAACACCAGCAGTAACACCACCACCAGTATAACCACGACAGCAGAGGAGGAGCCATAGTTGTGGTGGGCTCATCAGGGTGCTGACACACGTGGCCCCAACAGAGAGAGGACGTCTGATGCATCTTACATACAACTAACCCCCTCCCCTCCCCTCCCCTCCCACCCCCCACCCTGGTCAATGGTCAGTTAGTCTTTTCCTGCGACACCCAACCTCTCGTGCTAACACCTGATCCTACAAGTCCACCTACAGGTTCCTAAGGGTTCCTACAGGTTCCTAAGGGTTCCTAAGGGTTCCTACAGGTCCTAACAAGTCCCTACAGGTCCCAATAACTCCTCAAGCAGGTTTAAAAAGGCAGGTAGCGCTAGAGGTTGCCTGCCTCATGACTACAGGGGCCGTCTGCAAGCACTGTTGCTCATACGAATCATCATATTCACTGTCGCACTATGAAAGGAGGTTTAAAAAGTGCAGTTTTGGGTCTTATCAATGGAAATGTGTTCCAGGAATAGCGCTGGTTGAGTCTGCCAGCCGCCAACGTCTTCCGAGTCAGAGAAAGATGGCGGTGTTGTTGTCCTCTTCGTCCATAACCTAACCTAACTTAACCTAACTTAACCTAACCTAACTTAACCTAACCTAACTTAACCTAACTTAACCTAACCTAACTTAACCTAACCTAACAAGTCTTGGTGACACAGAGACTCCCAAAACAAGGTACCATTGGCCAGTTTTTTTTTTTACTCAGATAACCATGACCTTTACTGTAATTCGTGACATGGTAAAGGCACGTCTCTTGAGTGGCCATGACCTGTAACGATTCACATTGATCTCTCTTAAATTTCAGGTTAACGTGCCACACACACACACACACACACACACACACACACACACACACACACACACACAGGTGAACAACAAACAAATAAATAAATAATCCGGCTGTGGTGAGCCATAATGACCTGAACTAAACATTATGACAAATTTCAGGAAAAGGTACAGCCTCCTGCCGCACCCCCAGCAGCAGCGACCCCTCCTGCCGCCGCACCCCCAGCAGCAGCGACCTCCTCCTGCCTCACCCCCAGCAGCAGCGACCTCCCTCCTGCCTCACCCCCAGCAGCAGCGACCTCCCTCCTGCCGCACCCCCAGCAGCAGCGACCTCCCTCCTGCCTCACCCCAGCAGCAGCGACCTCCTCCTGCCGCACCCCCAGCAGCAGCGACCTCCCTCCTGCCGCACCCCCAGCAGCAGCGACCTCCCTCCTGCCTCACCCCCAGCAACGACCTCCCTCCTGCCTCACCCCAGCAGCAGCGACCTCCCTCCTGCCTCACCCCCAACAGCAGCGACCTCCCTCCTGCCTCACCCCAACAGCAGCGACCTCCCTCCTGCCTCACCCCAGCAGCAGCGACTCCCTCCTGCCTCACCCCAGCAGCAGCGACTCCTCCTGCCCTCACCCCCAGCAGCAGCGACCCTCCTGCCTCACCCCAGCAGCACGACCCCTTCAATGCAGAAAAGCCAAACTGATAGGCAACGAGAAGAGAAACAAATAAAAAAAAAGGTATCAAGTGAATGTTTGTATGTCCGATACAGGGTGAGGGAGAAGGCCAGGTGGTGTTGGCGGGTCGTCCTGCAGCTGCTTTGACGGTAAGGTAAGGTAAGGTAAGGTAAGGTAAGGTAAGGTAAGGTAAGGTAAGGTAAGGTAAGAAGGTAAGGAAGGTAAGGTTAAGGGGTCCAAGACATGACCAGCTCACTCTGGTGTCCAATATGCTGATGTGAACAGCTGGCATCAAACACACACACACAATACGCACACACACACACACACACACACACACACACACACACACACACACACACACACACACAAACACACACACACACACGATTAATCAATCAAGGGAATAAACCTGAGTCTACCTGTGATCATTTACATGTTAGTCAAGGTATGGGGAGGGGGGGAATTCACCGAGATTGACAAGTTTTCCACAGGTGATTTTAATACAATATTATATATATATATATATATATATATATATATATATATATATATATATATATATATATATATATATATATATATATACAGCTTTACTTGTTGTATGATGGTGTGTGTGTGTGTGTGTGTGTGTGTGTGTGTGTGTGTG